CTGCTTTTGCTTTTTCACAAAGATTATTTTTAAATTGACTATTGACATTTCTATGTGTAAAATAATATTAAAAGTGGAATACTTTATAAAAAGTATGATCTACCAAATGTTAAAATTTTCAAAAGAAGAGCTTATTTCATGATCCCGAGATGATCCGAAGACCTTTACTCAAAAAATACAGGTTAATTAATATTTAACTTTTTTAAACAAAAGAAGTTAATTTTTAACTTTTTCGTTAACCGTAACTGAAAAAAATTAACCGATAGCCGTAAAAGAGCCAAAATTTTAGCCGATAACCGTAAAAGCCACCACCCCATTGAGACCCTCGTATATGCTGTTAAATCCCTGTTCATGACCTGGTTCAAACAATTATTTTGCTAATTCCACCGCCCCCGGGGCCAACACATTATTAAATGTGCGTTAAATTCCGGCATTGGCCGCGTTAAATCCCCGCTATCCCCAACCATGCCCCCGGGGGTCGGGGGGCCAGGGTTCAATTGGCTGATGCACAAATTCGAATCGGCGAAAACTAGGGCATGGTTTTGTCATGCGAACAACAAACTGTCCTTTTCTTGCTGGAGGCTCATAATTTCCCAGACAAGTAGTGCCGCCATATTTTACCTTACTGGTCCATGGCGAAAGTTGAAAAAGCCGTGGGTCTATTACTCGAACTTTCGACAAACGGGGCCCCAAGATTTCAACTCGGTCGTTCCGTGCTCAATCCCCGGCGAGCGCTCTGGCCACTTTTTGGGGTCATGCCCGGGCTGTAAATAGCCAACTGGTTTGCCTCACATCTACCAGCCAGCTCTCCATTTGGGGGAATCGCGAGAAGCCACGCGTGAGCGGCACGCGGAAGAAGACACGAGAGCGATGCAATCTTTGGTAGTAAAGCAAACTCGCTCACCAGCAATGAACAGCTTGACAAATGATGAGACGATCACGTGGACGCATGGTAAATATAAGCAAGATATAGAGGAAAATTAATTTTATTCCTTAACTTTATATATCCATGCCATTGTCAAAAATATTACGATCGCAAGACCTTATTATTGATCACTGATGAGCTTCTTCTCATAAAGTTCCTCCTAAACTTGTCCCATAAAATAAAGAAAAAGAGAACTCTTTAACTTACAAGTATTTTGTGAATTTGGTCCCAGGGAACTCACTGATGCATATGTTGTGGTTCAATTTTATCCTTGGTTTAAATTATATTTTCCTTTGTTTTTGGGTATGATAGTGTATGACAATTAATGAGTTTGATACAAAGTAAAATAAAGTTTAAACCAAGGATGAAACTCAACCACAACTTATACGCCATTTATCGCCCCCGGACGGACCGCAAAAGACTTTCTAAAGCATAAACAATTTACGCAGAAAAAATGATCTGAACCGACGCTGGGGCAAATTCCAATAAGCAACCATGGTTCAAAAGGAAAGACAAGTAACCGTTTAAATTCGAATCGGCCAAAACTACAAATGGTTTTGTAAGATAACCAACAACACACTGAACAGACTGCCCTTCTCTTGCTGGGGGTTCATATTTCCCAGACGCTAGATCAGTTTTTTTTCCTTACCGAAATGCAATTTTACACTGGAAAATCCGGCCAAATTTTGTGGCCATAAAATTCTGTGGTACTCTTTGTTTTCCAGTATTATGACAAAGTAGGTATTGAATGCTTTCTTAAATTTTAAACTCGTATCACTTGCGAGTGGAATCGATAAAACATCGTGAACTAAGAGCTTGTTTCGCTGCAACTCTAGTGCATCAGTCCCAGTTCTCCCAATCATCGTCCTGTTGATTAAACAACATCAATCACTATATCTGTCTCTACACACGACGCTTCACAGCATCATACACAACGGGCCATTTGCAAGTTCCAAAGCTCCTCACTTTCAAAACTTAGTGGGTCCAAGAGCAAAACCTTTATTGCGATAATGAATTTTCATGAGAATAAAAATCATTTTCAAATCAATGGTTTCGCACTTAGCCTCGCTTTAAAGGAGAGGCTCTGGGCAACTCAAAAATGGCTTATCAAAGAACACCATCGGCTGCAGAATCGTTCGCTACACTTTCAACCGATCAACTGTTAAAGCACATGATAGCCGGGATGGCACGTGTTTTGCCGCTCCTCCTTGCTTGAATTTTTGAACATTGGCCAGATTAATTTCTTTAGCTAATTCATTTGAAAATAATATGTTTTTCCCATTTCTATTTTTTTTTTTTCAAAAAACAAATCTTCAACGCCTTCGCTCTTGCTTACCCTTGTTTTGAGTGAATCTTGGAGGATTTCAGAAATGGGCTTTGGCTTACTTAGAACTACTATAATACTGGTAAATCACAGATCTAGGGACAAAAGATCGCGGCGTCTTGGCCCAGAGGGGAGCTTGTTTTGCAGTCCAGTGTTCTATGGCCAAACATCAAGGGCCAGCCGTATACTGAGTATTAACATTGAATGTAACCACTAACATCTGACTTTCAGGCCAGTTAAACTCTTTATCGTAACGCAAGACGTTAGTAGTTACGTCTGACTTTAGGTTATACGCAGTTGGCCCCAAAGAAATGTATCAGATCCGATTCGCCGCATCTGCAACTCTCGTTCTTTAAGCCTGAAAAAAGGAATAAGCTTGGATCACAATGCTCACAGAGTAAGAATTAAAAATAACTCACATCTACATCTGCATCTTCCTGATTTCCTGTTTCTTGTTTATTTGCAGCCATGTTCTCCATGATTCGTTTTACTTCCTCTTCAGACATGTCATCAGCATCTAAATCCAGATCCTCATCCCAGTCCACATCTTTGTCATCCACACTAGGTACCAGTACCCCACTGGATGAACTGGAGCTGTGTCCAGACCCTATGATTCTTTCTCTACTGCAGCTACCTGGAAAGGTGAAGGACGGTTGTCAACTGTTATATACAGTAACTCGGGGTCAAGCGACAAAACATCAGGTTCAATTTAATAAAACTTTTCAAAGTTTAAATTAAAAGAGCAGCTTTTTTTTTAAACAAGAAAAATTACACTTGTGAAAGTTTTATCAAATTGGCCCCAGTATAAAAGACTGAAACATCGACTTGTAACAGTTACTTGATTACTGTCTTTCCATCGCCTTTTTGTCTACAAACCTATTCCAAAGCTTCTGAAACTCTCGGGTACTATAAGCGAATATAATTTCAGGGCGGTTCTCCGCGGGGAAAATTAATTTTGAAGCTGTGATTGTTTAAAATCACCATAACTGCTTAGAATTCGTATTGATCAATAATAAATAATGAGACACTCCAACAAAGCCCAAAAGTTATTATTTAACCAAGCCTGTGCCTAATTTCATCAGAATGCTTCTTGCACTGAGACGATATAACTTTTTCTGTTTGATAAATTTAATATTGTGTACTAATACTGTGTACTACTTCATACCTTCTTTATCACTATTGGCCTCACTAAGCTTGGACCAGGAGCTGTCAAGAGAGCCGCTTGAGTTGTCCCGTTTATGAGTTGCTGTTTGAAGTTCATGACCTGTTGTTGCATCACTTGGTTTATCTGCTGTTTGTAAGTTTGATACCTCAGACGTGGAAGGATCTTTTTGTTGCACATTAGTGATCTCTGGTTTAGTTTCTTGAGACACTGGGATGTGCTCAGTTCTTTTAGATACCGACAATTCAGTGGCATCTTCTTGTAGAGTTTCCTTATTCTCCTTCAACTCCAATTTGTCTCTTTCTGTGGTTTCTTCGCTTGTATCTTTGTTCAATGCAGTCGTGTCATCAATTTTCTCCTGTTTTCCCACAGCTGTGGGAGATTTTTTAGCCGCCTCAGTTTGTTCTGACTTCCCTTGATCAGACACTTCATTCATCAGCTCTTTTTCCTCTAATCTTGTTAAACTTCTTTTATCAAGCACAACATCCTTGCTTCCTTCAACGTGTTTATTCAAAACACTTTCCACTCCAGCCTCTTCAGTATCCCACAAATCTGTTAGTAAAAGAATAAAAACAGAAACAACGAAGAATTTCAACCATTATAAGCAAAATTAATAATGTTAAATCTACTGGGACATTTTTTCGAATGAGTATGTCTCTGGTGTTTACTACACACATAAGCATGAAATGAAACAGCTTCAAGTGTGTGAAAAGCCCAGACATCAATCTATCTCACCAGTTAAAGAAAAGGCATCCACATGAGCTTGCCATTCTAGCGAGCGTTATGGTGAGAATAACAGTCACTTTTTATCCATAGTCAATATTATAATGTCGTGTACACCGGTAATAAAATGCTGCCCACATTACTGACCAGGAAGCTTGTTCACCAAGTGCATGTGGTTTACGGTGTTGACAAGTAGCACATTTCAAAACCTTTTCTGGGACTACAAATTTGATAAAGTTTAATAATATCTTTATTTTTAACATAATTTATTAAAGCCACTTAAGCCTGGTTTTCACTAGTGCATGAGCATAAGAATAAGGACATGTGCACACGCAGAATGGCCTATTTGACTCTATTCTCGATACCAGCTCTCCTCAACCCGATGATAAACAAGATGGCAGATAAAGCGTCCACCATATTGCTTTTGATATGTTCGCATGAGGTCTGGGTAAAAGTGGCCCATGATTGGGTTACGGCCTTGTGCTTATGACGACCCTGTTTTCACTAGTCAAAGCTACGATATAAGCATAAGCACAAGCACAAGAAGAACAAAGTTATCCGTTTTTCTTGTGCTTATCCTTAATACACTTATGTCGACCCAGTTTTCACTTTCTTACATAATTATGTGCTTATGCTTATGCTTATGCTTATGTGTGCTAATGAAAACCAGGCTTAAGTTTCTTGATGAAGACAGAGACTGTAAGATGAAAAAGGAAAAATTGAACATGATTTTTTCAGAAAAAAGAATGTGTACAGGCATGTTTCTTAAGTTTAAGTCATTTTATTTTACTTTCATTAATAAAACCTTGGATATAATCTGGAGTGTTTTTCAGAAGTTAATTAAAACTATGAATTTTTTGTGAACAAAATAAAAACACCCTTAATACTCTGAGAGGGTATAAAAAAAACACACAGCAAATGCAAAAGAAGGAATGAATGGATAAACTTGAAGAAGATTGAAACTGATTTCAATTTTTTATTGTGGGTTTTGAAAACTTTTAGCCTAACAGTTTTTCAAATTTTGTTCTTTTTGTTTGTTTAGTTTATAATGCTTGGGAGACAAAAACTTGTTTGACATAAGGCAGTGATCTTGTCATTATTGCAAGTAATACATTATTTTGCTAACGTTAAGTTCCTCTGCGAATAATGACATGTACTTAGCAATATTAAGGAGCTTAAGTAACGACAGCAGCGATGTCAACAAGAATGGCAAATAAGCAATAGGTTTAATTAGCAAAACAACTACTTTCCACATGCATCATGCTTTTTTGTACATTTCTTTACCGTCATTGCACGACTACGACGTGAAATGCCTATTTTCAAGTTTTTGGGGGGATGTGAACACAGGACAATGACTTTCTTTTTCTTTTCCTGAGCTTTGATACAGTCTTTTAGAATTCAACTCCAGAAGAAACTGCCAACAATTGGTGAATTGAACACAAGACAATAAGCACGACAAAGTCTGAAGAAGTGCGACTTCACTTTTTAACCCATTCGCCCCTGAACCGCCCGTAACTGCCCGTGCGGATCCAGGTCCTTTCTACCCTTTGTGACATCATCAGTTTTAACAGTCAAGGACAACTTTCTTCGCTAACTTGTGCAGAGTGAAGAGATCTTTCAAACCATACCAGAATGAGCACAATTCAGTCAAGGACACCAGAGAAAGAAGCAAAAAACCACGTGACATTGACCTGAAAATCTTGAAAAAAGAAGGGAGGAGAGAAAGCGAAAAGTAAAAGTCAAGACTGCTGTGTCACTTTTAAACCCAAAAACTATCTCGAAATTTTGCTTTCTGCGCATGCCCGAACTTCGCAAGCTGATATTTTGCATCTGCATCAGAAGGCCGCTAAGTGTACGACCTGTAAACCGGTTTGTGGTAAGTTTTAGCTCTTTATAGCACGACAGTGACCAGAAAACCACTTGACTAGCTTCAAAACGCGTTTTTCGGCAAAATCTCCAGGAGCGAATGGGTTAAGTGACGTTTTCGTGGCTGTTGCTGTCGTTGTTACTTATTTATAAGCTCCCTATCAACAAAGTGACCTGGTAACACAGTCCCATTAAGCCCCACCTTATCCTTAACTCATTTTAAACCCCTTAAGTCCCAAGAGATATCAACATCAATATTCTCCAAACAATACCAATACACAATCGAGAGAAACTGTTATGAGAATGGACAAAATGATCATCAAAGGGAAAAAGTTTTGATCTTTTATAAAATTCTCTTAATTGATTCTTTAAGGAAATGTATGGATATACATGTGAGTCTGGAGAATTTGTATGTGGGTCTATTAGGGCTTAAGGGGTTTAAGTATACATGCAACTCCTAACCCTACAAATTTCCAAAAATCTTTTTATAATGGGAATCCCCCAGTGTCTTGATTCTTGGAAACAAATGCATTAACTGTACAAACCATCATCTCCCCATCCTAGTTCTTCATCTTCTGCTTGATTTGCCCTTGCAACAAGTGCTGCCCTTTTCTTTTCTTCCTGTTGGGCATAATTCAATAAAAAGTCTATTATTGAGTAAGTCCTACAAGCTCTCTAAAGCAGACACCTTGTAATGCATGTTGAACAAACCAATGGCATTATGTAAAACAAGCAACAGCTCATTGTACAACTCTGGGAAAACACTAGCCCATTAGGGTCCCCACTAACCTTTACCCGACAGACGTGATTTTCTATGAATACAGTGGAACCCTGTTAATACAGTCACCAATGGATCAAAAAAATTTGGCTGTATTACTGGGCAGGGTCAAACTTCGTGAATTAAGGGCTGTTATGTCAAATATACTATACAGGCTGTACATTGCTTTTGTACTCATTGAACAACCGTTTTCCTTAATAAACAACCCGAATTTAGTCAATATGACATACAGTAAATGTATATTAAACTACATGTATGTGAAACTTTCCTTCAATAAAACACAAAACCCTTCTAAAAAACTAGCTATTTAGCCACCATAAATGCCTTCATTTTAAGTGTACTGTAGTCTAAAATAGTACAAGAACAGGCTCAGCTTGCTAGGTCAATGAAATTGACATGTCACAGGCATTTTTATCTTCTAAATTTTGACAGGTGACCATATTAACAGGGTGAAATTATAAAAGAGTCTACTGTTTGGGATTTTAAAATTTGGCCATTGGCCGTATTAACGGGTAACCGCATTAATGGATTTTTTTTATAAGGAAATGTATGGCCGTTTTGCCAGGCTGAAAAAAAGTGGCTGTAATAGCAGGGTGACTGTATTACCGAGGTGGCCATTTGGCGGGGTTACACTTTCCTTGAAAATGCTAAGAAGTTTTACAAGACTTGAGTAATTTTAAACTCAGCTTAGCCTGCTAGCAAGTAGGGGAAAACAAACCAAAAAAAACAAAAGCTTTCCCTTTTCTCCCTTTCACCCAAGAGCTTTGCAGCCTCAACTCAGCTCTGCATACAGGATGAGAGCCTCGTCTCAAGAGATGGTGGAGTCATTTCGTGAGAGGGTGGAAAAAGTTCAAGTATCAAGCATCTTCACAATGTTTACGGACTTAATGATGAGAGAACTTCTGTGCACGGGTTTTCTTGGAAGGAGACGAGACTGGAATTAAGTTATTTTTGAGCGGTACTGTACATCTCACACGAACTGCAGTATCTGAAAAATGTGAAATGTAGATGTTTCACTCACTTAAATTGATTTGTTTTGATAACTTGGGTGAGCATACAGGAACAAAAATTAATAGCCCACCTGTTCAAGCTGATGAACTTTGTAAAAATATCTCTGCCAAAACAGGATATGACTGACAGCACTAGGAACCTGGAAAACAAAATAGCTTCTGACCTACATTTGTGAACACTTTAACATCAAATGATCACGTCAATAGTCAGTCGCTACACCTCAAAGTTAGCAGTGCTACAACACTGGCCCCTAGAAAAATTGCTGTCCAGTCGATAAGTATTAGGAAAACCAACTGCATTATCCATTGGATAGTAATTTATGCAGTGGCTAGCACAATCCATCTTTTAAACAACTAGAGCCTTGGCTGTAACTCAGGGTTGTAGGCTAGGAATTTTCCCCAGCTACTATGAGACACTTGGTTGTTTCTCTTAACTTTTAAGCCATATGAAATATCATTTTATTACTGTTCTTGTTCAGAGTTTATCCATGAGGATTTGCAATTTAAGAAGGAAACTATGGTGCCAACTTTTCTAGCAACTTGCTTGTACAAGATGTTGAATAAGTGACTTTCAAGTAGTCAGGGTGCAAAGAAAGTCAGTTTTACAGCTTGCCATTTGGGCAAGCTGTAGCTAACATGTACTAGCCCGAAAGTCATTTCAACTAGCCCAAAAAAAATTTGATGAGCAGGATTGATTGCAGTTCTTCTGTAATTTGAATTTCCCCCAAAAAAGTTTACTTGCCCATCGCGCAAATTAAGAACAGAATTCACTAGCCCGACAGCAAAATCCAGTAGCCCCAGGCTATCAGACATCACTTTCTTTGCACGCTGACTACTGTATGTTCCTTTGCTTCCACAAAAGTGTTAATAAAGAAAATAAAAGAATGTCAGACATACCAGTTTTGCGTAGAGGGCCCTTATTTCAGGCACATTTACAAGCAGCTCAGATATTTCCCCCTTGTGTTGTTCTGGGTCAAATGTTTTGCACCACTCCTCGTACACTCCAAAATGACCTAATGCCATAGAATAAAGCTTAATCAGCAAATCTTAAGATTTATTTCTGATTACATGCATGAAATAAGGCAAGTGTGAATGACGCAATATGCCCAAAGATCAGTACTGCTACTAGGTTTATACACCTGTAGATGATCAAAACAGTAAAGTACAAAATAGTATATAAAGAAAAAAAGCTGCTTATCAGAAGATTACTATTATTAAATTGTATAAAGGAATCAGGTTTCATTTCATACCATCTGGCTCTGAACAAAATGTGGCTGGATCTGTCTGAATTTCATGAAGTCGTGCCTTTGAAAAAATTGATTTTCATGAAATGATTAGGCATTGCAATACAGTAAAGGCTTTTGAAGATTTTCCCCACTTTCTATTATAAATTAAAAAACAAGATTGCATAAACTGTTACTGTGCATTCATGTGAAATTCAAAGGTACTAATAATATTGCAACTGGTTTAAAGGTTATTTACTGGAAGACCCATGAGAGACCAAGGGGATCTTTAGTGCCTGGGAGTCAGGGATATAAGTGTTTAACCAAGTAAAATCTCAGCAGTTTCCAGGTCCAGCACTCTAGGATATCATAGCAGCTGTAGCAACTACCATTATATGGAAAGCAGTCACAACACAGTACAGAAGACTGTCTTTCACAATGACGGTTGTCACATTATTATCACTGATCACTGCACTCATCAAAAAAATGTTTCTGCAGATAATCAACAAACTATACTCATTGATGAAAAGCCACTCTATGACAACTGAATCATTGGATAGCTGCGTGCTCCCACATAACATGCTATTTTGGCCATAGCTGTCCCCTGGGAAATTCTCTATGCCTTTTAATATTCATATCCCCTCTTCCAGCAAGTCTACTCAGCTTAAGTTCAAGTAAATTTTCCTATCCGTTATGCCGAATTTTTTCACCCATAACTTATCTTATCATTAAGCATAGGTTAGCTTGTATATGAATGTAAACTATTCACTATCTTTAACTAAAAGATCTTACATGCAGCAATTCAAGTGATGGACAATAGCTATGACAGTCTGTACCAGGGAAAGACAAAGGCCAAATAAAGAACTTTAAAAAACATAAAAATTGGAATTGAAGGACCCCAGATTGAACAAATACCTGCATTCTGTCAAAGACTGGTTCAGGACCATCAGAAGTGACTGCAGCAACTGCAGTTACATGAGAAATGTTCTCCCTCAAGCTATTGGACAAGGTCCCAAGAAATTTGGACACACCTATAAGGTCAGGATAGAATATTCAGCCTAGTAATAAAACAATTATGTGAAACTGTCCTCAACATAAAAAAATCTGGGCCAAGCAACAAAGTCACATGATATAATCATATGATATCTTGGCATAACACATAACACACGTCTAAATGACTGTCTGTAACATTGTTAAATATGTAGTTGTTGTTGTTTTGCTTTGAATTTTTTTTTTTTTTTGTTTTTTCTGGTCATATTCTGTACCTTGTTTAAAATGAACTGATGTTCCTTCTGATTCCTCCTCTTCTACCTAACAAAGATAATTCAACAACTGTCATGAAGGACATACAACAACCATACTCAGATCTAGCTCTCAAAAACTTTTTCAACTAGTGACACAGGCATTCAAAATAATAATTTCATTTGGTTGAATTGTATTATTTGGTGATCTTTTTGCCAAATTTAAGCAAACAGGATCAGTACAGGAAAGAATCCTTCCTATTGCTGATGAATTCTCAGTATCTGGGAAAATTGTCGCAGGTCTGAAAACTGTAAAAGTGACAACTCCAAATATCAAGAGCAAAAAGAGAAAAATCTATCTAAAAAATGGTAAGCTAAAAGGCCAAAATAGAAAATCACAAAGCTCCCCCAGCCTTCCTCCTCCTTAAATTCATATTCCACTTATTCCTTGGTTCAATGTTTTTGGGTGATTTTGGGGACTAAAGGGTTCAATACTTTTACAGTTTGTATATGTTACCTTCAGACTTTCTTTAACAGCTGTAGCAGTATCAGCCACTACGGCAGATGTATCATGTTGAATGGTGGAAACAAACTCTGACAAGTCGTGCTTCACCATGTTCAAAGCTTCAGCAGACTGATTAAAAAAGAACAACAGACTTATAACTATCATTATGTGCATTATTCAGACAAAATGTCTCAGAATTTATTAAAGGGTAACCTTTGCAAAAAATTGCTCTGTACTGTTCGTTTAAGTGTTGTTTAGTTGTGAAAAAGCTTAAAATCTATGAAGTCATGCAAAAAGCCATCTATAGATTTCCAACAGCCACATGACGATTCTTCAATTTTTTTTTCCTCGTTTAAATATTAAAGTTAGCTAAATTAAGCTTAAGTCGAACCTTCCAACTAACAGATGATTACAATCCCTAGCCATGTTGCTTCACTTTATCTTTAAGAAAATCGCAGGAGTAAGCTTTGTGTCATTACGTTACTGTTTTCATTTCATGCAATGTCAAAAACTCACAGCCCAGCCAGAGGAGGATTTATAAAAACATCATCAAAGCTACAGTACTCTGCAGCATACCGACCTTATCGCGAACACTTGAAAGGAGTTCCGAACCCCACGAGCCCCACCAACCAGCACCTCCGCTATGAAAAGAAATAAGATCCAGCATTTTAAAAAAGTGTACAATAAAAGTAAAGACATTTTCCTTCTGAGCTTTAGCTGAAGGACTTGCGGAAGGAAAGTCATATCACCTACCTTTCTTCAGCCATGTTTATCAAATTTGTAGCCAACGTCATAAGCGTGGTTACTAAGCCTTGAGTTTAGTTATCATGTAAGAGACCTAAAATAAACCTTTCGGCAACCTAAGGCGGGTAGGAGAGAACTCTGGGAACGAGGTTGATATTTTAAAAAGTGAGTTCGCACACCTTCAAAGTTCATCGATCTTATTCAATTTCATTTAATTTGGCAAATGTTGGCGAAATTTTCTAGGGTTGAATCCTACAGAACCGTATCTAAGTTTAGAAGAGGAAAAAGACAACTTTTGTGTGGTGTTCACCTACTCCATAAAGTGAGCGTGTGAAATTAGGAAGTTTCACGTCGCAGGGGTGCAACGACGACAAAGAAATGTACAAAATAGCGTGATGCACCTGCAAAGTCGTTGTTTTGTCAATAAAAACCTATAACTTTTTTGCCGTTCTCCTTCCGTCGCCGTCGTCGTTGGTTTTGTTGTCATCCAGAAATAGTGCTACCATGGTGACCCAGTTACGTCACACTTCTCTCTATAGCCTGCGAAAACATCCGTTTCTCCTCGCTCTTCGCCCGCTGGGGAAGTTTCGCGCGGGGGGAAACGCGTTCCTCCGCGCGAAACGTCCCCAGCGGCGAAGAGGGAGGAGAAACGGGAGTTTTCGCAGGTTAGGAAAATATAAAGGCACCGAACAGATCCGTTGGTAAAGTGACACCATTAATCCATGATGAAACGCAATCAGGAACCTGACGCAATACAATCTTATTTTGAAAATGACTGTCCACATCGCAATTCATATGTACCGCCTCGAATAATAGCCGTCCCTCGATTAATCGCCTCCCTGGAATAATCGCCCCACCCCCCCCCCTCCCATACCCCTCCGCCATCTCAAGTTTATCCCCTCCCGGTCGAGTTGAAGTGGAATCTGATCCAGCAAAATCAATCAGTGACGATTCAAGCTCTGAAAATTAATCAAGGAACCAAATTTGGAACACTTAAAACGAGGCCCACGTTCCGTTTATTTGATGAGACAATTTTTTGAATTTAATGGGATAGTAAAACAAAATATTTAGGGCACGACTTCCAGTGAGCAATATTTGAAATAATCGCCTCCCTCGAATTCATGTCCCGAGAAACAATAACGTCTTTAGGAGGATTTTAGGTCTTCATGCAAAAACTGTAGCGTCGGTGCGTCAGTGGGAGGCTAAAAATTTCACCATTATCTCTAGCTGGGAACTCCTTACCCTTTCTTTTAAACTTAAGACCAGCTTTTGTCCGAAATTTTGTGATATTCGTAATAGCCTGCGCAACACGCGTTATTGGGGGCGCCTTGGCGGGTTTTAGAGTGCGAGCGCGAAACGCGAAACCCGCGGAGAGGAACAGACCGTGAAAAAGATTAGTTGGTTTGATAGAGGTCTGGCGGTGTCCAGCTAGGAGCGGGAAGTGGTAGGTTTTATTCCTACGTAAGTAGGAGATACTCGTGCCTCAGGTTCTTTAAATTACCGAGGAAAAAGGTATTAGAGGGATTAAGCATCGCGTTTACGGCAAACGGCAAACGTGATTTTGTACCACGTGACCAAGTTTTCTCCTTACTTGTCGTTTACTGTTCATTATGACTAGACGAAAAGCGGTAGATTCACGCCAGTTCTATCCATAAGAATTGTTCTGAGCTGTTTTTAATTCTTATTTTGAGAATTTCTCAACTTGAATCTCACGCTTGCCGTTCGCCGTAAACGCGATGCCAGTAATCTCTCTATAACGCTTTGCCCTACAAACGACTGGATCCTCAATTATTAGTTCTTGCGTGTGATAAAACGAGATTTGATGAGTCAGCGTGTCAAAGTTTTTAGGCCTTTTAACAGAGATTGCGGGAAATTTCATCTTACCATCGACTTGGCAGGTGTACTGATGAGTTGTAACAAGAACGACGGACTAAGCTAAAGAACTCAGTAGATGGTAATTTTCGCTGAGGGTAGGGACATACTTGAAAATTTTGACCACAGAGTGTATACCCACCTGACTTTTATCGAGCCATCTCTGCTGCGCCTCTTCTGACTGAGTGCGCCGGGTGCCGCTAGATAGAGCATGTTTTTAGAAGTGTTAAGTCCTTAAATAAGGGGTCATTCTGTACGGCTAGTTCTTCAAAAAATTAATGATCTTACTGCTGCCATCGTAGGGTCAGCGTTGCAATAAAGCTTTACTGCTGCTTTGATCTTAGTGTCCTTGTATTCATTCTCCACGGACTTGAGACCTCTTCCACCGAGCTTCCTAGACATGAAGAGTATCGCTGTCGATCCCTTGGGGTGATTTCCTCCATTCTCCACGACGATCTTTCTTCCCTCTTGGTCAAGCTGTTGGATGTTTGCTATCGGCCAAGTCTGTGTCCAGATCAAGTATGTAAGTACTGGTAAAGCGTACTGATTGGACGCCGCTACCTTTGCATGATCTGACAATGGGCTGGTTAATATAAACATCAAGGAAAAAATCACGTTAATTTATTATTATTATTATTATTATTATTATTATTATTATTATTATTATTATTATTATTATTATTATGTTAAATCTGGATCTAATTTGTGCGACACTCTTGCAACTCTGATCAGTCGGTTGTGCACAGAATACATGGATCCCGCGACTATTGTGCCAATTCTAGCGAGTCGTCTTAGTGTAACCGTAAAGTCCGCCCAATAGGAGTCGGGAAAGTAATCAGAAGAGTTATTGGGAAGTGCGTGACAAAGGTCACGAAACAAGACAAAACTGACATTTGCAATCAATACCTGCCGATCTCCAGCACGACTATTTGAAACGGGGGTTAAAGAGCTTATTTCTGCGGAGGGTACTACGCAAGGCCGATCCTTAAGCAATTTGCATGTATGCCCTTAGTCTACAGCCGCTCATCTCCCGCTTACAAGCCTTGAGTCAAGCCAAACGATACTGCTTGCAGATTATGCGACAGGGTGTAAATGGGTTGGGCATGACAAAAGAGTTTGCTTTGTCGCAGCCCCAGGCTTGTTTCGCAGCTTTCATATTTGGTAAGACATCGCTGGACATAATTTTCTGAGAAATCTGCCTGACAAAGAATATCTACTCGCACCTCTGGAGCGCGCAATAGCTCATGCCCTCTAATCGTCTGTTACAGGGCACAACTGTACACAAGCTCAACGTGATCGAGCTGCTGGCGTTACCAGTGAGAATGGGAAGAATGGGCCAACAAATCCGAGTCAAGTAGCAGCGTTAGAGTATGCAGCATCAACTAATATCTCTGGTCCATTAGCTCAACAAATAGAATCACAGGTGCATGAGCCACCAGATGAAAATAAAATGCACGCTGTGCAACGGGAGATGCGCCAAATGAAGTCGGTATCTGAAGGAAAAACGTGATGAGGTGAAGGGCTCGATTTCTGGAAAAACTGCGAGAGCTTTGGACCTGGCCACTCAGTCAGCAGGTGCTTCTAGTTGGCTTACTGTTTTGCCGATTAGAGGTATGAACTTTGATTTAAACAAGAGTAAGTTTCGAGATGCTGTAAAACTCAGGTACGACTGGGAAGTTCCTGCCGGATACGTCTTATGTTTGTGATTACTTTAATGTGGATCACACTATGATATGCAAACGGGAGGATTTGTCATACAACGCCATAGTGAACTGGAGGATCTGGAGGCGGAACTGCTTAGCATGGTGTGTAAAGACATTGAAGTCGAACCAGTTTTGGAAGACATCACAGGAAAAGAGCTGATCAAATAGGGGAACCAACCTCGCCCCGGATGCGCGGCCTGATATAGTTGCTATGGGATCCTGGGAAAGGCGGAGGTCCGCTTTCTTTGATGTGAGGGTTTGCCACCCAAATGCTGGCTCCTATAGCGATTCAGATCCATACCATATATTCAGGCAACACGAAACAGAGAAAAAATGCCAGTACGCTAGCAGAATGTTTAAAGTAGAGCAAGCTACATTTAAGCCATTAGTTTTCAGTATGACAGGTGGAATGGCGGTGGATTAATGTAAATGATACCATAGTAGGCTTGCCGAGCTAGTTGCTACAATGCAAAGGGCGAAAGATCACTCTGCTTTGTTTAAGAGGATCAGGAATGTCTAGAAGAGTCCATTTAGAAATGTCGGACATGGAATTAGATATTGAAAAAGGACTCGCGAATATTCGATAAGGCAATTGAGAACGTTATTTTATTTTCGCTTTTTTCAGTCACATTACGTTTTCACTTTCCCTTAGAAAAGAGTTTTAAAAAAATTCGAGGTGATTGTTTTCTTTTTAATTAATTGAAATGAAATTGTTTTTAATTCGAATAACATTTTTTAATTAAACTGAATTCTTTAAATCCAAATAAGGTGGATTTTTTTAAATCTAAATGAATTGTAAATATTACTTTCACTCATATAATTTTTTAAGCGAAATTTAACTGTAAATAGGATTTTGTAGTTAGCTTTACTTATCAATAACAGATTATTACTTTTTTTTATTGTGTTCGACGTCAGTATGAAATAAGTCCTGATTTTTTTTTCCAGGCTTCTCACGCAATTGCATAAATTGCGTTGACAACTGCGAGGATCATTCTTCATTTGATCATTATTATTATTATTATTATTATTATTATTATTATTATTTAATGGACAAAAGAAAAAATAAACAATGCTGCTTTGCACCTATAGCTATAGAAGGTAAAGTTGTGTAAAGTTACTTTCACAAGAAAGGTTTTGCACTTGGCCTCGCGTTGAAAGCGCTCATGTAAGGGAATCCTTTTTCCGGTATCCGGAAAATTTTGCTTGAGTAATCTGGATTTCTCTGCGCTTTGGAATCCGGAAAACAGCTCAAAGAATCCGGAAACCCACCAACGACTGGAATATACTTTCCAAAACCCTTTCGCACTTGAAAAAAAAACATTTTTACTTAATAATTATCCTTCAACAATCCCTGGCATCCCATGTAACTTACTTCTCAGTAGCCAAAAACAAGACTGTCTTGGATTGACTTACATGGGCCGGTGAATATTGCATAATCACTACGATCTTTAGTTTTAATCGACTATTATTGACTCTATATAATCAATCAATAAGGCGGAAGGAAGAATTAAAATATACTGTTTGGAAACCCTTTTCCACTTAAGAAAATAAAAACACTTTTACTTATATAAATAATAATAAATAGCCCCTCCCCCCCCCCCCCCCCCCCCCCCACACCCCATCCCCCCCCCCCCCCCCCCCCCCACACACCCAAATCTCATATGTCCGCCCCACCCGCCCCCCCCCCCCCACCGTGCACATCCAACCCCCCAACTCCGCCGCCACACAAGCCATCAATTCTACNGTCTATTTAGTACGCGTGTTAGCGACGACCGGAAATACGTCTGCGGTCGCAGGCAAAACGCGTGTATAAATACACGAAAATTCAAGGGCCTCGATTCCAGAGAAATTACATCATTTCCAGAGAAAAAAAAAGTGATTAAAAATGGCACGTCATTTCAATCATTGCCGAAAATAAACCGCATGCTCATCACAAGTGCATACAGTGAAAGTTTACGACACCCGACCATCGCAGTTTTGTTAATTAAGATTCTTCTTAAAGTCTTGATCAATAACGATTTCTTAAAACATAAGCAAGCGAATATTAACGTTAAAAGCCGATGTTTCGGTATCAGGATCATGACACCATTCTCAAGGCAAAATGAATAAATAATGCGAAGATTTGATTTCTATAGTCTCTACAAATTAGCATAATAGAACGGTTTTCACTTGACTGTGGTAAAACCAAAACCAAAGTAAATACACTAGCCAACCAAAGGGCGTAGTAAAACCAAAACCAAACCAATTCCTCAATTACTTTCGACAGTCAAGTGAAAACCGCTCTAACAAAGGATCACAAGTGAATACCTTATACCTTATCTCGTTAGAGAGAAAACCGTTTACATAAAAACCCATAAAACGGCCATAAATCGGCCCGTGGACAACACAGGAGAGACGTAACACACATTTTAAGTAAGGTAAGCTGTTTTTTATTGAAATCCTTTCATTTTTGTAGGTTACGGAAACGATAGGTTTTTTTCCCATACAAATCCTTATACTTTGAATGTTACGCGACAATGCCGATGCTCGCGGATGCTTATATTTCGAGCTTGGGCTACCTGTGATGATACCGAAACGTAAGATTCTTCTTCTTTTTTTTTTCGACTACTCAGAAGTGTTCACTTGTTCCACAGTAATCAACGCTTGCAAGCGATAGAATTCGTGGACCGACACGTTTCGGAAAAGCTCTTAATTCTAGTCTCTTCGCAAAACATGCATGGCTTCCTTCCCTCACGCAACGATTCTTAGTCCCAGTTTCCACGATGTCCGCAAAGAACGACTGGCACAATGACCTGCCTACGACCAAAAATCCAGGGGGAGGTAGTTCCAGAAAAATTGGGTTGGGGTGAGCAGCACCCTTCCTGAAACCCTTCCCCTATTTCAGACCAAAATCTGTGATTTTCCTACCCTATTTCAGACCTGATCAAAAATTTGATACCTTATTTCAGACCAGAAGACCTGGAGCCCAGCGCGTGACAAGCTGTTACGGCACGTAGACGGTAGTTGGCGTAAACATTAAAAGGGAAATGGTCTTATCGCCAAATGATGAAGAAGTAGCTAATTCTTCTAAAAAGACTTCCCAATTCAAGACCAGAGTGCACAAACCATACCCTATTTCAGACCATGACGGTCGAAATTGATACCCTATTTCGGAGACCAAAACCGCTAAAAAACCATACCCTTTAGCGCGGCACATACCTATGTAGCCTATGTGAGGGAATAACCCCCCCCCCCCCCCCCCCCCCTCAATTGAAGGCGCGAGTGCCCAAAACCTAACCCATTGCAAAACCTGGGCGTCGAAATTTAGACCCCTTTTCGGGGACCAAAACCCCCAAAAAAACAACCCCCTTTGGGCGGCCAAACCCCATGGAGCCTATGTGGGGGAAAAACCCCCCCCCCCCCCCTTCCCGGGCGAAAAACGCGTTGCAGATTGAGAGTCTCGCTGCTTACATCAATAATTCTGTGGGCCAGCTGCTGCTGGGCATCCAAAACACACTGCACATCACCTAATAACCGAGACGTACGCGGGACGTAAACATGGTCAGGTCCAAGCTTTTTCAGTTGTATGGACAGGGCAAGTTCATAATACTCCTTAGCCTGTTGATGGTTACCCAAGTCTTTATGTAGGGTACCCATGTTATGGTACGTAAGTGCGACGTCAACATGGTCGGGTCCAAGCTTTTTCAATTGTATGGACAGGGCATGTTCGTAATACTCCTTAGCCTGTTGATGGTCACCCAAGTCTCCATGTAGGGTACCCATGTTATGGTACGTAGGTGCGACGTCAACATGGTCGGGTCCAAGCTTTTTCAATTGTATGAACAGGGCACGTTCATAATACTCCTTAGCCTGATGATGGTCACCCAAGTCGTGATGTAGGTTACCCATGTTGAGGTAAGTTGTTGCGACGTAAACATGTTCGGTTCCAAGCTTTTTCAATTGTTTGGACAGGGCACGTTCATAATACTCCTTAGCCTGTTGATGGTCACCCAAGTATAAATGTAGGTTACCCATGTTATGGTACGTAAGTGCGACGTCAACATGGTCGGGTCCAAGCTTTTTCAATTGTATGGACAGGGCACGTTCATAATACTCCTTAGCCTGTTGATGGTCACCCAAGTCGTGATGTAGGTTTCCCATGTTGAGGTAAGTTTTCGCGACATCAACATGGTCGGGTCCAAGCTTTTTCAGGCGTATGGACAGGGCACGCTCATAATTCTCCTTAGCCTGTGGATGGTCACCCAAGTCGTGATGTAGGGTACCTATGTTGAGGTAAGTTTTTGCGACGTAAACATGGTCGGGTCCAAGCTTTTTCACTTGTATGGACAGGGCACGTTCATAATACTCCTTAGCCTGTTGATGGTCACCCAAGTCGCGATGTAGGGTACCCATGTTATGGTACGTAAATGCGACGTCAACATGGTCGGGTCCAAGCTTTTTCAATTGTATGAACAGGGCACGTTCATAATACTCCTTGGCCTGTTGATGGTCACCCAAGTCTTTATGTAGGGCACCCATGTTATGGTACGTAAATGCGACGTCAACATGGTCGGGTCCAAGCTTTTTCAGTCGTATGGACAGGGCACGTTCATAATACTCCTTGGCCTGTCGATGGTCACCCAAGTCTTTATGTAGGGCACCCATGTTATGGTACGTAAATGCGACGTCAACATGGTCGGGTACAAGCTTTTTCAATTGTATGGACAGGGCATGTTCATAATACTCCTTAGCCTTTTGATGGTCACCCAAGTTGAGATGTAGGACACCCATGTTCTGGTTTACTGCCGCCTCTTCTAAGTGATCGGTCAGTGTCTTGTTCTCTTTGTCTTCGCTGAGTTTTAAAGCTATACTGAAATAGTCCATTGCTGATTGGTACTCACTATTGGAATGGCAAACATGACCAAGCGCGAGAAAGTCATACACAGTTATACATAAATCTTCAATAGTGATTTTGATAAAACCGAATTTCTCTGTAGTAAAGAAAACATTTTTAGTTTCGGCAGTTAGAGTTCTCAAGTGTGGAACAATATGCCTAGTATCACACACAGAATCTTCACTTTGCAGGATCTTTGGTATTGCTTCGTTTATAAACTTGCTAAATGATTTCACCGCAACACAAACAACTCGGATATGTTCATCAGCTTGGTGCATTTCTTCTTTAACTAAATTCTTGACTATAGTGTGTACTACATTATGTAAACGAATGTTGACATCATCCTCATTTTCGATTAATAGTAAGGAGGACCCTTGGATCTGAATGCCTATTTCCTCTTGATCCAACTCTCCGACAGCATTTGCAACGTAAGTGGTCAACAAGTGAAGCCTTACTGGCTCTGGTGCACAAAAAGCAAGAAAAGTGAAAGCATGTTTCATTATTCTATTAGAATCAATTTCCGCTTTAACGGCTATCCTAATCGCTTCTGTCATAGAGTCCCGGTAGATATTGTTTACTTTGGTAAGTTCTTCTTCAGTACGTTCACGCTTCCCTTTTTCTAGTTTTTTCAAGTACCCTTCCCAGCCAAAGTCTGGATTGGTTTTTCGTACCTTTCCCACGTAGATTCCTGCGCTGGCTAGTGCAAGTGGCTGGTAATCCAAAGCGCCTGCTACCTTTTTCCCCATACCATCGTCTGTGATTCCAGTGAGCTCGAAGAGAAGGTCGGTAGCGTCAGTGTCGTTCATGCCTTTGCTTATGGAAAGGTGGGAGGTGAATGGACTCTCAGGAGGGATACAGGAACAATCCTGCGTTGTGATTAGCAGCTGGCCTTTGCTCCAATGCTCATCTCCACGTTTAGGAAGAAACTGACCCATTCTAGCCAGATTTGTGACATTGTCAATCACCTAGAACCAAGATGAGTAAAGGTGAATTTTGGTCGTAATCAAATCTTTGATAATGGCTACCTTCTCTTCAATATTTAAATCTTTAGAGTTTTCGGTGGCAGTTATAGTATACGCGGGACAGCTTATTTTTCTTGCCAGTGATAAGTATGACGCTAAAAGTGATTCTAAGTTTTCAGCATTTAAAGTCATGACAAATGACGGAGCACTCGTGTCTTTCCGTGCTTCTTTGTAGATATTTTCAGCAACCAGTCCAGCTAGCTGGGATTTGCCACTCCCGGGATTACCTGTAATATAACAATAACTTAAATTGTTGTCGCTAGCCTTTCTTAACTTTAACAGCTTCTGTGTTACTTTAGCAACATCACAGTCGCGACATGCAATCACATGGGGAGGTCTGGGTGGAAGGACGCAAAATGGTTGTACTTCACGTAGTAGTTGTTCTTCAAAGGCCTTGCGCTGTTCTTCCGTAGTTTTAAGCCTCTCTTTGTTTTCTTGAAGCTTTTCTTCCTTATCCTGAAGCTCGGCATGTTTCTCTTGCAACTTATTTTTTTCTTCCTGAAGTGCCACATCTTTCTCCTGCAATTTAGTATCTTTGTCTTGAAGTTCGGCGTCTTTCGTCTGAAGGTCTTGAGTAAGTTTCTGATTACTTGTCTTCACATTATACAACTCATCGGTTGGAAAACTTTTCTGCTTACTTACAGCTTGGATATTAGAAGTAGACAGGCCAAGAGCTCGAAATGCTGTCTCAACTTTTCCAACAGTGACACTGAAGTCTGCATTTGAGAGCTGACCTTCTGTCATATGAGCGAAGCCTTCATTTCGAAACTTTCTGAGATCATCAACATTGGTTCTGAACAGTGGACTCAGACCATGTCCGATAGAATCAGAATACAGGATGGCATAAAAGAGCATAGTACAGTCCCATTCTGTTCTGTCTCCATTTATCATCGTTGCTAACAATCGGGCATGTTTTCTTTGATTAGCAGGAGATTCGCCGTTTTTGAAGTCCAATCCATTTTGAGGCGTGTCTTTCCATTCTCCATACGTTGCCTTGTAACGATTGTCCCATTCCTGCTTGAACAGTGATCTTAAAGATGGTGGCAGTATATCAGTGGCTATGTGGCAAACCCGGAAGTAGTTAAGCTGCTCTTCTGAGTACATTTTAGCCGCCATTCGGTTACGGAGGGAAAAAAGTCTTGAAACCTGTTTTAAAAAAAAACAACAATTTAGCTACGCCGAACAGTATAACGGAAACCAGAGTACTCATGGTCGGGGGTAGAAGCGGAATCATTTGAATCTTGATATCATTCATGATTTCTGTCGTTTTCGCCTCAATGATTCATGATTCCTACAAGAATTCAGATTCATGATTCACGAAGACTTCTGATCACCTATTGACTTAGTCACGTTTTGTATTCTTTGGTGTTCAAACTTCTGCTTCATTCAGACTTGGTATCATCATTCGTTTTGTTTTGGCATGGAGATTTTTTGTAACTGAACATTAAGCACAAGGTTATTGGAGAAACAAGCGGACTGTCAGCCCCGAATGCACGAATTATATAGGGGGGTCCGGGGGCATGTTCCCCCAGAAAAAAATTTTGAAAATTGGACTCTCGTAAACGCCACATCCTGCGTTCCCTGGGATCGAACGAAATTAATTCATACGTGTATTTTGTTGAGCTTTTCACAGAGTCTCGTTGTTCATGATTCCCGAGCCGAAGTACAAAGATTCATGATTCCCAAGTTTTTAAAACAAAGATTCATGATTCTTACATGTTTTGTAACTATGATTCATTATTCATGATTCCGCTTCCACCCCCGATCATGGGCAAAATTATAGTTTCTCTGATTAGGCGAGATGACTAGAGTCACTCTTTTTCGCAGAGTAAACAAATCCTTAAAGACAATGTGTATATTTTGATAAGAAATACAACACACAAACTGCGGTAATAAACATGAAAAGCAGTGAGAGATTTTTGGTATTTTAACTTTAATAATAGAGCTGCATACTGCAAGTATCTTCAATTAATTAGACTGCGATTTACGAAAACATACCATTCATGCAGCCCGTCTTTTGTCCAAAGATCCTTCAAATGTTTAAACGCGTTGAGCAATTAAGTTCGCAAAATAAACGCGGCTAATCACAAACAGATTGGAATGAGACCAGAAAACAAAACTGAGACAAGCCGCTTATATTTCGCTGCTCGGTTGCTAACCAAGCATGACCCATTAGGACGGCCCGGGGGGAGGTTAGTCCCTTTAATGGCCGAGACTGGGAGGCTTCGTCCGGAAGGGCTACCTTCAAACGTCACGCACGTAAAAGGGTAGGGATTTCACTAGTTTAGATATATAAAACTATAGGAAGATCTCTCATTGCAGGAGGTATAGGACCTAAACATTTTATGGCTGTGAAAAAGTCAAGAAAATTCATGGTTTAGTTATTTATTCATATTTAAAAATACAGAGCATTTACAGTGGAAATGTCAAAGGCGTACCATTTATTACTGAATAGAAGGGTATACGAAAGGATGGTACATAGAAGCTAGGGTAAGGGGATATGCAGTTTGAATTCAGATGAACAAATTATGGCAAATATTACCTAGGTTTCAAGGGAGCAATTATTTGAAACAACCCGGCTTCCCTCAAATATAAGAAACATATTAAGTTCGTATAAAATGTTTTAGAATAAAGTCAAAGTGTCTGTAATTTTACTCCCGGCTTAAAAAGAAATAGTTTTGCATAGACAGTTTCTTAAAACAGGAATTCGAAGAATGCTATGCTTTATATCCATTTAGAATACAGCGGAGATCATCTAAAAGCTCAACAATTCTTGCTTGATCTCTTCTCTTGTAATTATGTAATAGGCTATGTGTATGAATGTATGGTGAATAAAGGTACCAGCTTCTTCAAAAGGGGTTGGACTTCGGGAGGAGCCTTCCCTTATAAAACTTGTTGAGTGGCCCCCCGGGGTCAGAAGCTTTCAAGGAAATAGGACTGAGAAACTGTTCGCCATCTAAAGAAAACCAAAAGAGGCCTTTCTCACGATAACTTGGTAAGATCGCCCTCAGCCTCATATCTACGACCAACGCTTTGTTTAGGATAACGAAGAGTTTTCGTACTTCAAACTTCCTTTCCACAGAGCCCACGGCACTGATGCGATGCAGCGCTGAAGATTACGTCCATACGGTATTAATTTTGCTATTTGAATATTTTTATACTTTACCGATTGTATGTTTAAGGTCCTCCTCAACCGAAAAGGAAATGCTGTCGATGAACGATGAAATGTAACGAAGTGAATCGGATCGGTGTTCAGCAAAATGAATATTCAACTACAGTGTTTGCTTCGTTTAGCACTTTTCACTCTTGATTACCGAGGGCTCAGACGTAATTGACACCCATGGCCACGCACGATCAGGCGAACTCGGGATCACGCGATAACCGGATAAATGCAGCCTTAGTTTCATTTACGGTTAATTCGTTGTTAGTGTCTGCTGTTATATTCACCCATATTTTAAAGTCAACTCTTCGTCTCTTCCAAGTAAAAATAATTCATGTTTAGTGTTTTGATATTTTGTCACAGTTAATATTACTAAACGTGACCCATCTTAAATGTTTGGAATCAGTCCAGCTTTGTCCTTTCAATAGAGTCTAGAGTCCTTCTCAGCGTAGACTCGAGCAAAACGCGCGAGACACGCAAATGACCACGCGCGTGACTCTAGGCGCGAGACGGGAAAGGAACGAAAAAAGAGAGGCTTACCGCAAAGCCAGAGAGAATGGTCTTTCACTGTCTAGTGATTGTTTGGCGTGAAAACTTGGCTATATGGCCGGTAACCGGTCAAGGTTTTCAAAACACTAAATGACCGGCAGTCCTATATATATTCTAAGCAAATTTGACAAATCGAAAAATCGAGCTAATCTAAACTGTCATATGTCGATTAGGAATAGGGGGTGAAAACTCAATAATTGCTGATGCTAAAAACTACAGACCAGTGTCTATATAACATTCCTTACACCTTAAGTCATGGAACATAGTACATGTAGTATCCTACCACATATCACGACACCTTTCTACAAATCGCATTGTCTCTCAGCATCAGCATAGTTTTCAGCGGGGTCTGTCATGTGAGACTCAACTCAGATCATCACCGTCATACACAGACGGGCATCAGTCCTAAACGTCCATGGTTCAGTCGATGCTGTAATTCTAGACTTTGCGAAAGCTTTCGATTCCGTTCCCCATGAACGGCTTTTACTTAAGGCTGACTACTACAGATATCGTAGAAAGGCCAACATCCGGCTTCAACTGGGTGTAGTCCACGATTTGTGGTTAATGGATCTGCTTCTTCGTGGTCGCCTGTAGTTTTCGGAGTGCCTCAGGGAACCTTACTGAGACCCATTCTCTTTTTGATGATTATGAATGACCTAGCTACCAATATCACACCTAGCATTAAGCTCTTCGCTACGACTGTGTTCTTTACCGTCCAATTCATTCCGTTGGCGATCATGTTGCTCTCCAGCGAGACCTCGATCAACTAGAGAAGTAGGCCTCGAAATGGCAGATGAAATTTGTTCCTACAAAATGTTTTGTGATGGCCATTACTTTGAAGATTTCTCCGTCCCAGTTTAGTTACTTCCTATGTAATGTACAGCTTGACGGTGCTTGCCACCAAAAGTACTTCGGCGGCTATATGACATGTACGTTAAGTTCGCAATTGCAGTACTAGTGTGACAAAGCAAAAAAGAAGGCCATGAGAGTCTTAGGGATCCTTCAAAGGAATCTCTCATTGTGCGGTCGATCTGTAAAGGAACGCTCATACCCATCCTTATTTAGTGCGTCCGATTGTTGAATACGCCACGGTTGCTTGGTCTCCATGGCCACACACAAAGAAAGGTATTAACGGTATTGAATCCGTTCAACGCCGCGCAGCACGTTTGTTAACAATTATTACAGCCGCTATAGTAGCGTTTCATCAATGCTTACTGATTTGAATTGGCCTTCTCTGCAGTCAATGCGAAGGATATCCCACGCGATCTTGTGTGTTTTCTAAAATACATGGCATGGAGGTCAAGTCAACATCTCCCTTCCCAATGATTTCATCTCCGTGCGTGTGTATGACAGTACAAGGGCCAGTCACGACTTTAAGATCAGACTCCTATCCTCTTCAGTTGACGCTTACATGCACCTTTTTTTTTGTAAGATCAATCCTCGTATGGAACGCGTTGTCAGCTGACGTTGTTAGTTCTTAGCCCGGGGGGGGGGGGGGGGGGAACTCCGGGGATTTTTGGTAGGGGGGTGGCCGGGAGGGTTGGGAACCCCAAACCCATTTTAGGAATTAAAAAGGGGAAAATGAAACCCTTTTTAAGGCCCAAAACCGGAAAATGGAACCCCTTTTAAGGAAAAAAAAAAAATATTAAATACAAGAAAAAAGAAAAATTTATTTTTTTTGTTCCACCCTTTCCCCCCACCCCGCTCTTCCCAACCCCCAGATTAAAAAAAAAAAATAAGCCACCCCATCTAAGGACCACACCCGGGACAAAAAAAAAAAAAAAAAAGGGGCAAAAAAAATACCCTATTTAAAAACCGAGAACCCCAAAAACCCTACCCTATTCCCCGGCACCTACCTATATGTCCCATATATGGGGGTACCCCCCCCCCCCGGGTTCTTAGTCATACCAAGAGCCGTAATGGCTCTTGGTCATACCCAGAATTCATCAGAAGAGAGTCTACTAATTTAACATAATAATGTAATTTACATCGGTGTTTTTCATTTGTTCTGATACCATGTAACTGAGCGAACGCTCATTGCCGGATTAGCATTATTTGTAACGCTAGTGGCAATTACCATGATTAAAGGTTAAAGGTAAACTACAGATCTTCTCGTTACCGTTTGTTCGTCAAACATTTGGACAGAAAGATTGCTGTAAAACATTTCTTAGGGGTTATAGCGCTGATGTTTACAACAAATATTAGATCGTATTTTCATCCTTTAATGGCACATATCCAGGAGAAAAATCCATTCTTTGATGGCAGTGCGCCATTAGCAGTTCCCTTCATGACTCCCTGGATCTTGGTCAACATTAAGTGCTTGCTTCCCTTGATTTAGAACTAAACATTACCTAAGACCCTAAATTATTTTTTTCCTTGTTAGATTACTTCCAGATTTCGGATCACAGAGCGGTCAGTTTAAAGTTAGTTCGATAACGTTTTTAAAAAATGAAAATAAAAAATTGCTTATACAGGAGAACGGTGTTGAAAAATCCTCCCACTACGTCATAACTCACTGCAACAGGTGCCAGTGAAATACAATAGAACCTCGATTTCACGAACCTCTATATAACGAGGTCTTCAATATATTCTTTACTCCAGTAATAAGAAAATCTATGAATAAGTATCTCGATATTACGAAACCTCGTTTTCGCGAAAAAATTTGGGTAGGCTAAAGAAAGGAAACGCGCGACTTACATTTGGGCATTTCGGTCAAATCGAGAAAGGCGGGAAATCTTGCGAACACAAGATACAAAAATGTATTTCTAAAATAAGTAATAAGTGATATAAAATAGCTCTAAATGTGAGGACTGTGAATGTGATTCTTCTTTATAGTAATCACCGTAATTCAGTAGAGTGTTTTTGAAAAATCCACTGTCGAAGAGATTTAGGAGATGTTGTACGATGAATATGCCGTTCGGACGAAACAAGAAAAACTTGCGGGGGAAACAAGGGTAGAAATTAACAAAAAAAACCGAATTATTATGGCTTTCCTGAAATATCTTTGAATTCGTGATAAATTCAGCTCTACCGGCTTCAAACAGCGTCTACCGGCAGAAATTCACGGAAATAATTCTTTAATTATAATAATTTTTCCTCACAGCTTGGCGCAGTAAGAGTTGTCTAGGAGCCGATCTTCAGCAGATGGGTCCAGGTTCTACTTTCGGCTAAGCTGTTTTTTGTTTTCTTTGTCTTTTGGCGACAAACGTATTTCTGGTAATGTTTATATAACATTGGCTCATTCTTCCACTTTGCATGCATTGCCTAACGAGATATGACGCACTTGGAAAGTTTAGAAAGCCTGAAAGTCGCAAAACGATGGCCCATCTCCTGAAATTATTCCACACGAGAGCCGCGCAAATTCGCGGGTTTCCGCGCGAGTTTGTGACGTTGAGGGTAGCGCCGTTTGTTCTATTTTCCGCTCATGAAAACCTCAACTCGAAGCAGGAACAGACTACTGACATTGTACTAACCTACAAAATACTTAAAATGCAGAAGAGAGGTAAAACGATCTGTTCAGATGTATTTGTAATGGTGGTTTTTCCTTCCCGAGAAGGGTGTCATTTTTTGGTTTTTGGGCCTCAGTTTTCTATTTCTTCCCCCAATTTCCTGTAGTGAGAACCTTTACGTACAGAACATCAAATAAGAAAACGTCCATTTCAATTCTATGAGTACTATTAGCATATTTTAAAGTATAGTTTATACTTTAACAGCTCTGTTTAATCATTCCACCTCAAATAACCAACCGTACGAATCACAATTTTTTTTCCTCGTCCTTATGTTACAAAACATGTATTATTTACAGCCTGAAAACGGTACAAAATAAAGATATATATAGATATAAAGTGATTTAACATTTAGTTTAAAAATCTCTAACAACATTTAAAATGTTTGAGAAAAAATATTGAGATTATGTGGAAGTGCACGAGTAGGGAATTTACACCCGAGTTGATTCGCGCTCTACTAGTACACGCTCAATTCAATGCAGTATTTAATAATTATACTGACATAAAAAAAAAAATGCGCAGCTATGGGTGTATGTATTGTGTATTGGCTTTGTCCTGTTTACAAATTCAATGGATGAAATGAGTTCTAAACTGTACCGTTTGTAAGAGCAAATGAAGGCCAAAAACACTAAAATAGTTGCGACAGGAATCGTGGACTCCTCCTAATTGAAGTATTTCAAAATAACTAAGATGTCAAGGGCACCGCCCGAAAGTTTTCATTCTTCACTGAAAAGATCGGCATTGCATGACAGGAGTAGACTTGTAGCCGGGTCATGACAAATTATTCGGCTCTAATTTTCACTACGACTGCCTTCTGTGAAACACCGCAGTTGTCATTTTTCATTGCAATCTTTATGTATCCTTCATCACCCCAAGCTTTAGACCAGGAATTCTTGATTAACCAGTAAGGTTGACCTTTTTCCACTCCGTACCCAACAGCGAGTGCAGCGTGATCAAGTGCATGAGCTTGGGCAAAAATGGAAAAAAAAATTAACATTATTATGCGCGATTGTCTAACACCGTGATTTGAAATCTACCCACTATTGAGAACAATCTGGCTCACTACTGAGAAACATTTTTTGAACCATAATACGTGGTTCCCCACCCAATCAACTCTTAGCTCAAGGCCTGGAAAAGCGGGGCCCTTGTTACCTCAAGGCCTTGTTCCCCTTGAGAGTTGGGGCAAGATTTTTGCGGCGGACAAGTGAGCCTACTCGAAGGCTAGGCCGTTGATCCTAACGCTACTAACTAGAGAGACTAGAGATGGATTTGTCAACGAGTTGTCGAAAAACTCCGTATCTTTTGGAATCTAAAATGAACTTGAAATGTCAGATCCAGCCTCTGTGATGAAATGATAAAGATTTCGCATCCAGCGTGGCCAAATAAATATTCTGAATATCCTTAGTTTTCGTGCAGTTGCCTTCCTCAGGCCTAAAACGAAGCAAACACAGTGCAGGAGAGGACTACAAGCGCGCTTTAAACACCCTAAAAGGATTGAAACAATTATCTTTCCAGGGAGGATGAGAGGTCTGCTCTAAAAACACCTCATGAAAGAAATCCTGCAAAACTCCAGTCCAAAGAAAACTTTACTACAGAACACTTACTACATGATTGGTCGTAATAGATCCCGGACCCATAGAATTTAAAAGACTTGGGTTGAGTGTTGATGAGGATGCTGACGGGTCCATAAAAGGCAATGGCTTGCTTCAGCTGATTGATGTTTCCTTTTGTAATGTTCATATAGAAGTCGAGTTTAGCACCAGTTGTAGTGTTCTTGAAGTGACAAAGCCCCTCCTGTTATCAATGAAAGGAATAGAATTGTTTGTAGCCGGAGAAAACAGTCGACATTTCGCGAAGCCACCACTGGTTTTCCCGCCAAATGGCGTCTAAGAAACGAGCGCAGAAATTCATACTGATGACGCAGACCATTTATGGTGAGCGTGGCGAGCTGCGAGAGAACACTCGCGTCTCCTTTCGCGTGCTGCTCTCGCGTGACTTCTCGCGGCTCACCAAATGGAGAACTTGCTCGCAGGCTATCATCATTATGAAATTTTTGCCCTCGTACCTCAGACGTCATTTCGAGGGGAAACCAGTTATAGTGTCGCGAAATGTAAGCTGTTTTCTCAGGCTAAAGTATAAATTCGTAGAAACGTCTGTGCGAAGAGTTTAGCTTCAATCCTCTTCAGGAAATCAAACGCGGGGGTTGTCTTATGCAGTTTATTATTATTTCTTCATCCCTGAATAACTTGAATTGAATCACGAAGCTTTTAACAGTGGTCAGGATGTAAATTCGTGTCTGCCCGGTGTCGGAGTCTCTATAACGAGATGCTGCGTTTACTTCTCTTGGGACTAGCACGTCTTATTTGTTACGCTGGCTCTGAGCATGCGCGCTAAAACACTGCGAAAATGAGTGAAATGGTAAAAAGTTGCCAAAAGGAAGCGTATAATAGATCTATATCAATAAATAAAAACAGTTATGACAAAAAGGAAGGTTTAATTTTTAAAGTTACCTGCGCGAGATATCTTCCGTAGCTCTCTTCAGTAGCTAGTCCGCCATGTTTAATGACCCACTGCATCGCTCGATGAGGATATCCACCTTTGCAGCCGCGGTTACCAAATCCCCAGGAGCAGTCAATTAGCTGTTGCTCGGACAGGTTTAGGAGAGTCCCTGTCTGCAAATAAACGAATCGTAACACGCTTTTCGTAGAGGGCTTGATCATGATTTGAAGGCCTTCAGTGGTTCCAGAACTGATTGATCATATGAACTCAAATCTCTTTGCTTTTTGCAAATTAAGTTACGATGAAGACTAAACATGGTCATCGGAACTAACAGCTCATTACATCATCTTTTAACGATTGTTAAATATATTCTCATATTTTTTTAAAAAGACCGTGTTCACTTTCGCACCCACAGAAATGAATTGAATTAACCCAGAAACCCTCTCCAATTACAAATCAACAAAGTACGGTTTTAAATTTTGATTATTTGGTTGTTGTTTTTTTTTTAAAAAAGAAACCCCGAGTTTGAAACACATCTCTTGATTTTCGTATTCCCGCATGCAGTCTCACCCTTTTTTTGAGGATTTCTATAACCTAAATCACAGTACCGATAGTTCACCAATTACTGGTTCACACTGCAACACTTAATTTTATGATGTAACCTGTGATCATGTTCTATTTTAGCACATTTGCGGCCTCAATACGGAAGAGAATAAGAGAGCGTAGTCAAAAAAGTTGGCGAGATTCGGTTTCTTCTCTCTCAAACATTCTACAAACCTTGATGAAATAAGCCCCTTCCATGGCGCCCGTTACGGAATACGCGTAACACGATCCACAGATCCCCTGGCTTTTAACGGGATTTACCGCACCTGACAGAAACAGCGGAGGACTGAGTAAGTACTCGATCCGATGTGAGCGGGAGCTCAAATAATAAAGTGTGAGAATTAGAAAGTTGTCCATTCGTAATACATCATGGGTCTGAAATGACCCAGAAATTAATTCCAAAATCTTTATCAATTCGCTTGACGACGAAGTCATCAACTCAGTTGGGATCAAGAGTCTCAAGAGTTTGATCCCTTTCCTCTCTTTAAGAAAATACTAAAGATTAAATTAATAAGTAAATATGAATAATGATCTAAAATCTTAAACTTGACGCCATCTTTTGTTTCACTTGATGTAAACAACTATAGCCCGTAGTTCGGCTATAAGCTTCCCTTATAGTTTCTCTTAGGGGGATCTCCTCGCCACTTCTCTTTTGCTATTTATCGGATATATTTTTTTTGTGTATTTTTGCTATTACGTGGCAAATAAGTAAATGGAAATTTTACAAAAAATAAGAAAATTATTTCCCGGGAGTAAAATTTAAATCAACAGATTAGTCACTCTAGTAACTTAGTTTTGTTTACGGTTTTACGACTCTCAGTTAACCCAATCTGATATGTATCTATTCTTTCGTTTTAAGCACTTTTTCGGCTGAGATCTCACCTGATTTCGCCCAGTTCACGGCATCAGGCAATTTCCTCTCATCTTTTCCTTTGGGTATTTCAAATCTCTTTCCTCCGATTAATGCATTAATATCAGCCTCCCTCAGCAGTCCTCTCCTCTGCTCCATCTCCTCTTCCGTCATATCCGCCATGTGGTTTGACTTCAGTCTGTAGCCTAAGTGTTGGCGGTTTCTGGACCTGATGAATCTGTTGCAATGGGATAAGGGCATTTGCCTTCTTAAACGTGAGTTTACTTTATTGTTGATGATGTTGTTGTTCGCTAAGTGAGTGATATTCTCATTATTCAGAACGACTTTGAAACCATTTAAAATAAATGCAAAATGTCAAGCTTGCTTCTTCTTCTCAAACCACAAGACCCGGATGCTTGGGAAGGCATTATTGAAAGAAATAATTTTTACTTTATTGAAAGGAACGTATTATCTGACGTATATTTTCTTGTGATCAAGGCCCATTTGCTAAAAGTCGACCATCCGAGGTTAATAGGTATAGAGGGCAACCACAACAAAATATGATAATTTTTATCACTTGTTATGAAGGAAAACTTTCCTTCGAAATGGGCGCCCTTCATAGAACTATTTAATGGTAGTAATAGCTATAAATGTAGTATTAAACGTTATAACGAGACATTCACTAAAAATCGTTGATCAGATTATATTATCAACTAAAATGTAAAAAAAAAATACATTGGCAGTCGTGAAGGGAATCAAAAGCAGCAGACGTTTTGAAGGCTAGATCACTCTCTTGGTGGGAGAGCGGACGTTCGAAACGTCAATTGTTGAAGACGCTCTACATTTTCTCAACACTTTAAATAAATAATACCGAGATAACGGGTATGATTTTTCTTTTATTAACTAAGATTAATTACATCCTCTCTAAGTTCGGTGACCACTGCAAACTCACCTCATATTGTGTCTGTAAATATCCTTTCTTGTTTCATGTTCTCGCTTAGAAACATAACTTTTCTTGTATCTCGTCTTAAACGAGTTAAACAGAGAATTCACGATATCTTCATAGTGTCGCATAGCAACATTATATTCCGAACTCGACTTCTTACGCGATTCACGCTTTATGCTGCCTATGCTCTTGGGGACTGGTGACGGGCGAATGGCTTGTTCTTTCTCAGTATGCTGCTGATTACTAGACATTGCGGTGGCCTCAGAATTACCATCCTTGAGCAGTGGCATTTTGTTTAAGGTTTCTAAGAGAAACTGTAGCGGGTCAGTCGTAGAAGGCGAAGGAGCAGTTGGGTGAAAATGATTGGATGGGTGAGATAGAGTGAAAGGTGAACCTGATGTACTATGAGGCATGAATTCCAGCATTGGATTTATATCTCCGACGGATTTCTCCAGTTTTTCGTGAGAAAAATCAAAACATTGAAGATCTGAACAAGCAAAAGAAAGCGTAATTAGCAACAGCATCAAGCTACGTGCAAACGGACGTAACAACTCACAACAATGTTTGGACCTGCAGTGCATCGTGGGAAGGATACAACCCATAAGACTTTGGAGACCATGTGTAACGCGCATGCGTGGCCCCAACAATTTTGGAGGAGCTGTGCAAGCGGATCCAACATTGTTGCGCTGCGCCTCCACGATCACGGAACAAAAAAAATGTTGGGAGTTGTTGGCTCAAACGTTTGACTGGTTTCAGATTTTGCGCAACATCTCCCAACAACATGCGACAGGGTGTGCAAACGGACGCAACATGTAACATCCAACCATGTTGGGAGTGGTTAGCCAATAATGTTGCGTCCGTTTGCACAGGGCTTTAAACATCCCTTGAAACCTAGGACAAAACTAAGCCATTATGTGTGAGAAATAGGAGCAAGGGAAGTACTTTGGTTTATCTGGTTAATGGTGGTTCAGTTTATTCCTTAAAAGGCCAATCAGCTCTACATTTAAGAAATCTCATGTAACACTTACATACCTGTCGGTACTTCAAACACTTTATAGTTAAACTTCCAAGCTTCGAATTCCTCGTAATCCAGGATATAATGATCGTAGTAGGAGGACAGTAGCGTGTCGTACCCCATCATTTCATAGCGGATTGGTTTTGGTGGTCGGTGTTTAGTTGTGTACAGAGTATATGTGTTGACCTTGTCATAAATTGTAAAGGAATGTTCCCATTTGGCGCAATCTGTACCATTCACTTCAGCATCACCTGAATACTAAAAGGCAGTCAGTGGTTAGCAAACGTAAGGGCGGGGAGGACTAAAACATATTGGTTCGGCAGTATAATATTAATCATTTTTATTATTGGTGGCCAGGCGCGATTTCCGGCCTTAGAGAGATTTAGAGCCAAGTTAACGGCAAATTGCCTGCGTGCAGACGTCTCTTATTTCCTTTGTTGCACGCAACAAAGGAAATACATTAAGAGACGTCTCCACACACGACATTTTGATTTGAAATCACTCACCCCTCTCCCTTCCCCTCTCCTTCTGCAAGAGTTTCATGGTCGGCCCTAATGGGTCAACATTTAGGCACTACGGCACGAGCTATTCGAATCTATGCACTTTCAAACGGAAAAACGTACCCTGAAATACAGAGGTGCTGGTATAATGCTTTGTGCTTTAATGGGGAATTTTTTTGTCCCTCTTCGATGAAGGCACCCAGTGAACGTTTTTTGCTTCTCCTCTGAATATTCAGGGACTATCTTGCACGCAAATCCGTGTCTACCAAGATCCTCACGCTGAAAAGTTTTGTCCATCCCTAAATCGATTCAAGAAAAAGATGCATAAGAGCACAAGCGGAGATATCGATATAGCAAATAAGCCGAGGAACTACAATGCAATAGATTGCCTCACTTGTTTACGTGTATCTAAAGTCACGTGTTCTTAATTTACCTCACAGTTCCTTAATCTACGTCACATGCATATACAGCTCCTTTGCTTCCCAGAGGCTTCCGAGAGAAAACTGAGACGGGCTTAATGTTTAGGTTGCGGGCGCTTTTGCAAACCTCCTTAAAACAAAGGAACATTTGACCTCACACTCAACAATATTACCAGCTATTTCTTCTACTTTCTTCTCACCATTATAGTAGTCAATTCTGCTCATCTTCTTTGTTTTTGAGTACCAAGCTTCGAATGGCTCCACAATATCGCCATAAGGAAGCGACAATATGCCTTTAGTGTGATAATCATCCGGGAACTGCAGAATTTCCTCCACTGTAAGCACGTGACGCGTCATACGTTTCCCAAGAGGAAGATCCGAGTATTCATTCCTTTGGTTCAAGCAGAAAAACACCACTCCTTCAATATGAAACAAGATAAAAAAAAAAATGAATGGAGAATTAGCAGTCTCAAAGTAATGTGGTCGAGTCGTGTCTGCATGGGGACATGATTTTCGTTCGTATGGTTTAAAAAGATTTTTTAGCGACGAGAAGACGTAAAAGGATTTTTTAAAGTTTACAATCTAAAGTATCGTAGTACCGTAAAATTCCGAAAATAAGCCCCTCCATGTATACACCCCTCCAAATATAAGCTCCCCAAAACCGGTAACGCGAAGTCCCTTCGTTGAATCGCCCCTCATGCAAATATAAGCCCTCCGGGGGCTTGTACTTAGAAAATGTCCCTCAAATGCAAAGTAAAACAAAGCAAAAACGGTAAATTTACTTCCAACTATAAGGCTGGCCCAATCCATTTTGAAACGCAAATTTCCCTCCGTAGATAAGCCCCTCCGAATATAAGCCCCTCAAAAAGGGCCTTTGAAAAATATAAGCCCCGGGGCTTATTTTCGGAATTTTACGGTATGTGGCTTGAAACAGATGCTTACATAATTGAATTATTGAGAAGAAACGGCACATTTTATAAGGTATTTGTACCGGCTTTGGCGTTTTCGCAGGTTCAGCTAACATTTTTGTTGACTTTTTCACTGAGGAATATTTTAACGAAAGACGTTTTTTCAGAAGGGGGGGGGGGGTGAAAAGGCAGAAGGCTTTGCCTCCTTCCCCCCTTCGCTATATTTCTTCGATAGCTGGTCGACAACGGAGAATTCTCCATGTTCAAAGATTCGGCAGCAAAGGCTGAATCTGTTAAAATTTTACGCAACACAGGCTGAAGTTGGCGGTTTGTAGAATCGTCGGAAAAAAACAAACACTTGCCATTGATCTGTCATTAAACGACAGGACGTGCTGTGGATTCATGCAAACAATCTTCCATGTGCACAGTTGTTTAGATGGCTAATGGTCAACAGCATGAAAAAGGAGAAATCACACGTACTTACCAACTACAAATGCTAAGAAAAGAATAAACAAACGTCTTCGTGCGCTCCGATTCTTATTAACTGCTGATTTAAGCCACAACGAAACTTTCACCATAAATGTCAACCAGAGATCGAATCAGCGACCGCAACCCTTGCATTTGAAAACCCAGTACTTTTCAAACAATGCATATGAGCGTAATTTCCTCCTTAATTTCGTCGGCAATTTCGCATCGCAAAATTTGTTCTCCTAAACTGAACCCAAATCATTTATCGCTTGTACATTATGCGCTGGGTGTGGCTTTATCAGATCAATTGTGTGAAAGTAATTTTGGTGCTGTGACAGTGCATTCAGCGCCATAATCAGAAACTGTTTGAGTAAGTGACGATATGTTTTGCCGCGCTTTCTTCGGGTGGCAAAAGGGCTTTGCTACGATGGGACCTGCTAGATTCCAGCTCATATCGGTTGTTACTAAACGGTCACACAAGATTCTCCTTGTTACGTTATTAACCCACCAAAAAAAAGCGCAGGAAAGAAAATAGATGAAATTTTTAAAAGTATCCAAGCGTTCACATATGAATTATATACAACGGGAGCCCATGAAGAGAGGGACGATAAATTTAAATAGTTGAAAGTTTACTTCTCAAAAGCATTTTGTTGCAAAAAATTCCAAGCAGTCAATCAACTGCAAATATTTAAAAAAACGGTGAATTTCTAACTGAAAGTAGTAATTTACCCTGGCTGAGATATAACATGACCTTGCAGAACCAGTCTGAACCTTTGGTATTTACTTTATAAGTCAGAAAATGCTCTGTTACGTTTTCACCCACCCATCTATAACGCTTTCGACATAAAACAGCTTGTATTGCAGGCGTTTTCTTGGTGTGCGCGAATTGTTTTTACTCGCTTTACCGTAATCGGCTGAATTCTAAAAACGTTCGAGGAGTTGTGGCGACTCATTGCAGGATAGACATTATATTAAAAATTTTTGTAAGTATATATTCATGCAGAAATTATGATAACCACCTGTTTACCAAATGACGGGTACCAGGCGCGTTCACTTTTCATGGACGTAAATACTTAATACTTCCGTTCGTTCATCAAATCATGATATCCCACTGATTTCAAAAACGTCCCTTCATGAACGAAATGCAAGTGCGAAATAAAATAAAAAATGATGCGTCTTATGTTTTTTAAAGCCTCGTTTAACGTGGATTGATATTTAGGTTATTACTCGTGTCCCCGCAAACTCAGCGAAACCTAGCGAGGTAATGGTACCCAGGCTCCACGAAGGATGGGGCCAGGGGCACTGGAATCCAATGTTACCTTTGCATTGCATGATGGGAGTTACTGAGTCAAAATGGCGGAGAACTTGAATTCAGAGTTTTGGCGTAGCATTGACGAACTCAAACTACAACTCCAGTCCATGAATAGAATTGAGCGACTCCATCGACTAAATGAGGAAAGCGATAAAGAAAATGTTGTGAGAATTGAAGAACTATCTAGGTAAGGATTTATCACTAGAAATTCTGTAAGTTGATAATTTTCATGTGCCTATGAACATTAATTGTCAAAACTTCACTCCTTATCGCTGAATCACAATAAGAATGATTTAAAAACAGGTTACTCTTCTTCTTACCGTTTAAGACATTTAGGCTCAAGTTAAACAACGGTATATTAGCAACGCCCCAAGCCAATATAATTTTTCTTTACTTTTAGGGGACCGTCGCTTTATAGAGGAAAAACTTACTGAATCCACGAACAAAAAGATAAGTTTACGCGACAACGAGACAAATTTAAACGCCGAATGTAGGCTGTAGGACTAGAATAAACATTAATCTTTTTTTGGTTATTTTCTATATTAACCTCTCTTGAATCTACGGTAAATTGGCCAAAATCCAAAAAATTTCTAAGAAATGTCCCGTCTGCGATGTTCATTGTTCGTCGTTGCTAGAAGATGCATCCAGAAATGACCAGTATTTGCATTTTTTGTTCGTTCTTTATTGTTAAACTTAAGACGTTATTTTTTTTCGTTGCATTAAACTCGTTCTTTCGCTCGGGCACTTACTTGTTTTCCTCTCAGTAGAGCGACGGTCCCTTAAAAGTAACGAAAGCCAAACATTTGTTTCACGGGGTCCAGTCAAGCTTATGAGGGCTTTCAAAGAAAAGGGCGCAAAATCTGGCGTATAGCAATCTTTTTTGAAGTATACTTGAAGACTTGGGGAAGTTATTTTCGTTAACAGACATGACGTCATCGCCAAACTAGAAGACATTTTCTTGACAATTGTTGAGGACTTATCAAAGGATGAACCGCCTTCTTTAAAGTACAATTCCAGAACTTCTTGGAAAAATACAAGGTAAAGAAATTTGTCTCAAGTAGGTAATAAGTCTAATAAGAAAGAAGGAAATTTTGACTGAGATGACAAATTCATTGAAAAGAGGGAAAGTCATCTTCATAACAAAATGAGTGTATCAATAATTGGATAGGGTTTTAAATCAGTTAGAGTGAACCTATCATATAGGCATTTTTTATGACCCACTTCTTTACGACGTTTTCAAAGTTTACATTCTTATAAAACAATCCACAAGAGAAATAAGACTGAAAAGATATTCAACTGCCTTTAATGAGATATATTTTCTTGGTTAATGTTTTACAACCATTCAGTCAAATTTTGTGCAAAGCTTATGTATTTTGTTTATGACACTACCCTGTAATGACTAGGGTTCCTGTACTGATCAGCATCACCCTGAATGAGATACGTAGATCAAAGTAAATTTTAATCTTGCTCAGAGTTCATTTCATGTCTATTTCTCTTGGTGACAGGTTCAACAGTGCAGTGGGAATAGAAATGATTGATGACATTAGCAAAACAGAACATAAGTTTGATTCCATTGCATCAGTGGGGAAGTTTGGTATACACAAGTACAGTCAAACCTTGTTTATATGGACACTGAGGAGGCCATAGAAGTGTTCTTATTAACAGGGTGTCCATATAAAAAAGGTTGAATTTAGAGAAAATGTAATATCTAGGGACAAGGAAAAATGTTCATAATAACTAGGTGTCCGTAAAGTGGCCAGGGTTCAACTGCGATGAAAATTTACAAAAAATTAGAATAGCCCTTCCCAGCTGGCAAGCTGTTGCTGAATTTCTCTAACATACATTTACTTCAGCAAATGTTGTCTATTTGTCAGACAGCTTGTAATAAAAACATGTTAGCCCAGTTCATGGTGGCTTTCGTAGCCCCAAGCTGATCATACAGCATTTTTGTCATGACCTGAAAATATAAACTGTGCACTTTATAACTGATACAGTGAAACTGTAATCTTATGCCTTATGCGATCACCTCTCTAATGAAAGACCCACTCAGGACTAAAATACAAACAATAGTGTTCCCAGTCAAAAACTATATTTTGACCCTCCAGTGTGCGCAATCACCGACCAACAGTTTGGGCAGTTTTGGAGGTTGCTTACAGTAGATTATAAACAAAGGGTATATTCTCAGGGGGGTACTCTACAAAGTTTTATACGGGGAAGCCCTGCTCCAAGGTCCAACCCCTTAACCTTTTATATACCACATTTTGACAGGAAAGGTGCTCCTTTTGTATTTAACCTTTCATTGAAAAATTGTATCCCTTTTACATACTTAGTTTAGAACTTTGCATCCTTCTTAACTGCTGTAAATTATGCACTTTCTTTTAGAGATGAATAAATCACAAAATAGAGCATTTTCTCAACTTTCTCACAGCCATAAAATCCTTCTTTGTACCTCGTAGGTCATTTCACAGACCAAAGCCCTTTCATATCAGGCTTCATTAATACTGAAATCCCTACCCTTTCATATAAACCTGAAACCTGAAAAGGGCACTCCTTTTGGTGTGAGCCTCCAGGTAAAGGCCATTAGGCATATGGAGTACCTCCCCCCCGGGGGGGGGGGGGGAAGGGTTCATCTAGGGGTATATTATTTCCAGGCCCAGTGCAAATATGCCATTTAAACAGTGGATATAAGTCACAAAAACCCTTTAGTGTGCACTACTAGTAATGCTTTTGTAGTTTCTGCAAGTTTTGTCTTTAAACATGTATGT